CCGCGCGGAAAAAGCGGCGGATAAAACCCTGGCGAAGATGACCATGGAGGAAAAACTTGCCTACATCGGTGGTATCGGTGGCTGGGACGTTAAACCCCTGAGCCAGTACGGCATTCCACAGATCCACGGCGCCGACGGTGGCGTGGGCGTGCGCTACACCAGCGAAGGCAATGCCCAGGGCGTGGTGTACCCGTCGGGCCCGAACCTGGCAGCCAGCTGGAACCCGCGCCGCGCCATCGACTTGGGCCGGGCGCTGGGTTATGACACCGCCAGCGGCGGCTATCAGTTCGTCACCGGCCCCGGTGTGAACCTGTACCGCATGCCGTACAGCGGCCGTGCGTTCGAGTACCTGTCCGGTGAAGACCCGTTCCTCGGCGCCAGCCTGGGTCCTGCGTTGATCAACGGTATCCAGTCCCGTGGCGTGTGGGCCAATGCCAAGCATTTCGCCGCCAACGATCAGGAAAGCAACCGCTTCCACCTCAATGAAATCATCAGCGAACGCGTGCTGCGCGAGATGACGTTGCCGCCGTTCGAATCCGCGTCCAAGAACAGCAAAGTTGCGATGATGATGTGCGCCTTCCAGAAAGTGAACGGCGAGTTCGCCTGCCAGAACAAGCACCTGATGCACGACATTCTGAAAACCGAATGGGGCTATCCGGGCTTTGTGCAGAGCGACTACAACGCCGTGGTCGATGGCTTGCCCGCAGCCCAGGCCGGCACCGATCTGGACATGATGGGCTACCAGATGAACAGCACGGTGCTCAAGCCGTACCTGGACAGCGGCGAGCTGAGCAGCGCGACCATTGATGACAAAGTGCGGCGCATCCTCAAGCAGATCTACCTGTACAAGTTCGACAGCAAGGCGCCGTTGACCAGCCACAACATGAACAGCGCCACCAGCAATCGCGTGGCGCTGAATGCCGCGCGCGAAGGCATTGTGCTGCTCAAGAACCAGAACAACCTGCTGCCGCTGGATGCCAAGAAGGTCAAGCGCATCGCCGTGGTCGGCAGCCTCGCCAAGTACGCGCCGCCCACCGGTTTCGGCAGTGCCAACGTAATGGCAGCCAACTACATCAGCGAGCTGAGCGGCCTGCAGCAATTGGCGCCAGGCGCCAAGGTGGAGTTTATCGACGGCCTGTCCCTGGACCCGGCCACCTCGACCTGGACCCACGCTGACAGCGACGGCAACCCCGTCAAGGGCCTGAAGACCGAGTTCTTCAGCAACGCCAACTGGTCCGGCGACCCGGCCGCGCGCCGCACCGACCAGCATGTCGACCTGGACTGGTCCACCGACAGCCTGCCGGTCAATGGCGACACCGCCGCCACATCCATCCGCTACAGCGGCCAGATTACCCCGACAGTCAGCGGCGAGCAGGTGTTCAAGGTGCGCGCCGACGGTGCGGTGCGCCTGTACGTGAACGGCCAGAAAGTCCTCGATAACGGCGACGGCAAGCCGCTGCCCAACAACAGCATCCCGCCGACCATTCCGGTGTTTGCCAAGGTCAAGCTGGAGGCCGGCAAACCGGTCAACATCAAGCTGGAATACTCGCGTCGCAATGGCTACCTCTCGACCATGGGCGGCCTGGTGGGCGTGCAAATGAGCTGGGCTTCGTTGGTGGCGCCGAAGGACCTGGCCAACTACGACGCGGTACTGGTCGCGGCCGGTAACAGCAACGAGTACGAAGGCGAAGGCTTCGACCACAGCTTCGATCTACCGGAATATCAGAACCTGCTGATCCAGAGCATCGCCAAGGTCAACCCGAACACCGTCGTCACCCTGCACGGCGGCACCGGGTTGAAGATGAGCGACTGGGTCGATCAAGTGCCGGCCGCGCTGCATGCGTTCTACCCTGGGCAGAACGGTGGCCAGGCGTTGGCGGAGATCCTGCTGGGCAAGGTCAACCCGTCGGCCAAACTGCCGATCAGCATCGAACGCAATATCGAAGACAACCCGATCTACGCGACCTTCCCCAAGTTCGACAACCAGGAAACCCTGGACGAGATGAGCTACAAAGACGACCTGTTCCTGGGTTATCGCGGCTACGAGAAAAAGGGCATCAAACCGCTCTACCCGTTCGGCTACGGCTTGTCGTACACCACGTTCGGGTACAGCAATATCAGCGTCACCCCTGGGGTGGCGGTGGCCGGTGCGCCGATCAAAGTCTCGTTCGACCTGGCCAACACCGGCAAGGTGGGCGGCGCCGAAGTGGCGCAATTGTATGTGGGGCAGAACAACCCGAAAGTCGAACGCGCGCTGAAGGAACTCAAGGGCTACAAAAAAGTGTTCCTCAAGCCGGGCGAAAGCAAGCGCGTCACCATCGAGCTCAATGACCGCTCGCTGGCCTACTACGACGTGGCGAGCAAGCACTGGGTGGTGGACGCCGACAGTTTCACCCTGTCGGTGGGCGCGTCGTCCCAGGACATTCGCCTGAACGCCAAGCTGGTCAACCCGTTCCGCCAGGAACTGTCGACCGGCACCAGCAACCCGCTGCCACGTTCGGCGCTGAACTCGACGTTGCGTGAATCGACGGTCAAGACCGGCGGCGTGCTGCATCAAAACCAAGGCGACAGCGGCACCAGCGACGGTGATGGCTATGACATGAGTGATGACAGCAGCCAGGGCAGCGCTGCAGGTAACTGATCCAGCGCGGTCGAGTGTGGCTGGGCTTGCGCCCTCTCACACTTGACCCGCGTTCGGCTCAGGTTCTGATGGCCGCTTCGACCCGCGCAAGGTAGGTATCGAAGCGCGCCACCAGGTCCACCCGCTCGGGAAACCGCAGCCACTGGATCTGCAGGCCATCCATCATGGCCAGGATTTCTTCAACCAGCCCAGGGATGTCCACATCGCTGCGCACTTCTCCCGCCGCCACCAGATCGGCGAACTGTCCCTGCAAACGTCGTTGGATCCCCTCATAGCGTTGCTGGAACCAGGCCCAGGCCGGCTGTGCATCGAGCAGGCTTTCGGCATTGAGAATGGTGAACGCGCGCACTACCCCCGGCGCATTGGCGTTCGCGGCATTGATCGCCCGCAGGCTGCCGAGCAACCCGCACAGCGTCTTCTCGGCGCGCACTTGATCGGCGATCCGCTGATTAATTTCGTCACGCCGTTGCAGCACGCCCATCAGCAACGAGATCTTGCTGGGATAGTGATGCAGCAACCCCGCCACCGAGAGACCGGCAACCGCCGCCACCCGCGCCACGGACGCGCCGCTGTAACCTTCGCGGGAAAACACCTGCAAGGCCGCGTCCAGCAGCTCTTCGCGGCGTTTTTCACCTTTGGGGGCGCGACGGGTTTTAGGAGCGGGATCGGTCATGGGGGCATCCTGGGGGGGTAGGTATGCACCCTATCCAAAATGCCCATGAGCCGCAAATGGTGCGTCTTACCACACCGCGATATGCCCATCCGCCCGCGGCTCGGTGCCGCCGCATAACACCCCGCTGTGTGGGTCGCGCAGGATGATCTGCCCGCGCCCGTAATCGGTGAGGTCGCTGGCGATCTGCACCTGGTGGCCGCGCCGCGCCAGGGCATTGGCCAACTCGCGAGAAGCGCCGTGCTCGACGCCGACGTTCATATCGCCCAACCATTGCCAGCGCGGTGCATCCAGCGCGGCCTGGGGGTTGAGGCCGAAGTCCACCAGATTCATCACCATCTGCACGTGCCCCTGGGGCTGCATGTAACCGCCCATCACGCCGAATGGGCCGAGGGCCTGGCCGTTCTGGGTGAGGAAGCCGGGGATGATGGTGTGGAAGGTTTTCTTGCCGGGAGCCAGGCGGTTGGCGTGGGTGGCGTCGAGGCTGAACTCCTGGCCACGGTTCTGCAGGGCGATGCCGCTGTCGGGCAGTACCACGCCGGAGCCGAAGCCGTGGTAGTTGCTCTGGATGAACGAGACCATGTTGCCTTCGGCGTCGGCGGTGGCCAGGTACACCGTGCCGCTGGCGTGCGGGTCGCCTGGTTTGGGCGGTTGCGCCTGCTCGCCGATCTGCGCGCGGCGACGGCTGCTGTAGCGGTCGCTGAGCAGGTCGTCCACCGCCATGCGCATGTGCAGCGGGTCGGTGATGTAATGCAGGCCGTCGCTGTAGGCCAGCTTCATGGCTTCAAGCTGACGATGCCAGGTCTGTGGGCTGTCGCGGTGATCGAAGTGGAAACCTTCGAGGATTTTCAGCGCCATCAGCGCGACCAGTCCCTGGCCGCTGGGGGGGATCTCCCAGACGTCGACGCCGCGATAGTTAATGTGGATCGGCTCCACCCATTGGGCGCGGTAATCCTTGAGATCGCTGGCGCGCAGGTAACCGCCAGTGGCGCGGGCATGCGCGTCCAGGCGCTCGGCCAGGGCGCCGCGATACAGGCTTTCGCAGCGCGTGACGGCCAGTTCCTCCAACGTGCGGGCCTGGGCCGGATTGCGGAATATCTCGCCGGTTTTGGGGGCGCGCCCATCGATGAGGAAAGTGTCGAACCAGGCATCGAGCACCGGGTCGCGATGGGGGCTGAATTCGTTTACGGCCAGTTGCCATTGATGGGCAACCACCGGCGACACTGGAAAACCATCCCGTGCCAAGCGGATGGCCGGTTGCAGCAGCGCAGCGAAGGGCAACTTGCCGAAGCGTTGCGACAGCTCCGCCCAGGCCGACGGGCAGCCAGGCACTGTCACCGGCGTCCAACCGTACAGCGGCATACGCTCGTAGCCGGCTGCCTTGACCGCCTCGATACTCAACGCTGCCGGCGCATGGCCGTTGCCGTTCAGACCGTGCAGTTGGCCTTTGCACCAGACCAGCGCAAACGCATCACCCCCCAGGCCGCAGCCGGTGGGTTCAACTACGGTGAGCGCCGCCGCCGTGGCGATGGCGGCATCGATGGCATTGCCGCCCTGCTGCATGACTTCAATACCGGCCTGAGCGGCCAGGGGCTGGGACGCGGCTACCATGCCGCGATGGGCGAACACACTTTGACGTTGCGACGGATAGGGGTACTCATGGGCAGAGAATTTCAACATGGCAAAGGCTCTTGAATACGGGGGGTTGGCGTGCGTTCAGAGCACGCGACTGAGAAACGCTCGGGTACGCGGGTGGCTGGGATGGCTGAAGATCTGTTCCGGTGGCCCTTGCTCAATCAGTTCGCCCTGATCGAGCACCACCACGCGATCAGCCACCTCACGGGCAAAGCCCATTTCATGGGTCACCACCACCATGGTCATGCCCTCCTCGGCCAGTTCTTTCATCACTTGCAGCACTTCGCCGACGGTTTCCGGGTCAAGGGCGCTGGTGGGTTCGTCGAACAGCATGGCCTGGGGTTTCATTGCCAGCGCGCGGGCAATCGCTACCCGTTGCTGCTGGCCCCCGGAGAGCATCGACGGGTAGTGGCTGGCCTTGTCCGCCAGGCCCACCCGCGCAAGCAAACCGCGCGCCTGTTCCAACGCTTCGGCACGCGGGGTGCCCAGCACCTGGATCGGCGCCTCGATGATATTTTCCAGCGCGGTCATATGGGGGAACAGGTTGAACCGCTGGAACACCATGCCGATGTCGCGGCGCTGACGGGCGATGTTGCGCTCCGAATCGCGCACCAGGCTGCCGTCGCTGCGTTCGCGGTAGCCCATGGCGCGGCCGTTGACGCGGATGCGCCCGCCCTGGATGTCCTCCAGCAGGTTGATGCAGCGGATAAACGTGGTCTTGCCGGAACCGGAGGCGCCGATCAGCACCACCACTTCGCCGCGCCGCACTTGCAGGGAGATGCCTTTGAGGATCTGCAGCGCGCCGAACGATTTGTGGATATCCAGCGCCTCAATGATCAGTTCTTCACTTTGATGCGCCATGGTTAACGTCCCCTCAGCAGTTTCAGGGTACTGCGACCGAACATGCGGCTGGCTGCCGGCGGCGGTGCAGACGGCCGGTCGGACTGGCTGAAGCGCACTTCAAGCCAGCGCTGGAAAAAGCCCCACAGCGTGGTCAGCGTAAGGAAGTACAACGCGACCACCAAGTACAACTCGAACACGCGGAACGTCGCCGAGGTGATCATCTGAGTGCTGAGCAGCAGCTCCTGCACGCCGATCACGCTGACCAAGGTGGTGTTCTTGAGCATCACGTTGAACTCATTGCCCAGGGGCGGCACGATCACGCGAAACGCCTGGGGCAGCACAATGCGCCGCATCAACTTGGCGAAGCCCATGCCCAGGGAACGTCCGGCTTCGTATTGGCCCTTGTCTACCGCACCGATACCGGCGCGGATGATTTCGGCCATGTACGCGCCTTCGTTCAGGCCCAGGGCAATGATCGCCGCCTGGATATTGCCGGGGACGATCAAGCCGAACAGCTCGATGTCCTCGAAGCGGAAAATCCCGCCCGCCGCCAATGCGGTGTACAGAAACACGATCTGCACCAGTAACGGCGTGCCGCGCATCAGCCACACATAAAAGCGTACCGGCAGGTGCAGCAACGGGTTGCCGGACAGCCGCAACAACGCCGCCGCCAGGCCCAGCACACACCCCAGCGCCATGGCCAGCACACTGATCAGGCAGGTCAGCCACAGCCCGGTGAGGTACACCCCGCTGGGCTGCAATAGGTACTGCCAGAACACATCCCAATTGAAGTTCATCGCGGCGGACCTCAGTCGAGTGTGTCGCTGCTGACATGCCACTTGTTCAGTAACTGCACATAGCTGCCATCGCTGCGCATATCGCTGATCACCTGCTGCACGGCGGCCGTCAGTTGTGGGTCATCCTTGCGCATGCCCAGGCCGGTGAGGATGCGGCTGAACGCAGGCACGCCCTCCTGAAACAGGTCCGGGGCCATCGCCGCGTAATAACCGGCGGTTTCCACGGTGGTGCCATAGGCGTCCACCTGGCTGATGCGCAGGGCCTGAAAGGCGTCGGTGTCGGTGTTGTACACCACCAGTTTCATCGGTGGCTTGCCGGCCTTGGTCAGGCTGTCGTTCTGCGTGTCCAGCAGGGTTTTGATGGTGGAGCCGTTGAGCACAGCAACTTTGTGCGCGGACAAGTCGTCCAGCGTCTTGATGCCCTTGGGATTGCCCTTGGGCACCACCACCGATTGGCTGGAATACATGTAGTTGACGATGTCGATCACTTGCCGCCGCTCGGGCTTGTCGAACAGCTGATCAACGATCATGTCGCATTGCTGGGCCAGTAACGCCGGCACCAGCCCCGAGAACGGAACCACCTTCCACTGCACCTGCTTGTCGCCCAGGCGCTTAGCGATTTCCAAGCCCAGGTCCACGGTAAGCCCCCGGGGTTTCTGAGACTCATCGAAGGAGACCAGGGGCGGTGAATCCATGCCTGAGCAATAAGTGAGTTTGTCGACGTTGCGCAATCGCTCCGGCACCTGGGGCGCGGCAACGGCCCATTGCGTGCACAGACCGAGGGAGACAGCCACCAGCAAGGCGCGGTGTTTATGCATGACCAGACACTCCAGTTCGTGGAAAAACGGGGCAGGACTCAACGTCAAAACACAGTGGATCTTATTGTTCTGTTTGCAGGAATTGGATCAGGGCCGGCACGGTGCCTTCGATGTGCTCACGCACCACGGCCTCGGCGCGCGCGGCATCGCCGGCACGAATCGCCTCCAGGATCACCGAGTGCTCCTGACGCGCGCTTAGGGGTTTTTCGCCGTGCTGCAGCCACAGCCGCATCGGCGCTTCGACCAGGGAATACAACGCCGAAATCTGCTTCATCAAACGCGGCCTGCCGCTGAGGCTGCACAGGTATTCGTGGAAGGCGCGGTGTCGGCTGACCCACTCGGCGCTCTCATCGCGGTAGTCATCCATTTCATCCAGCAGACGCTCCAGCGCCGCCAACTGACGCTCGCCGATGCGGCCTACCGCCACGCGTACCGCCAGCCCTTCCAGGGCGCTGCGCATCTCGAAGACTTCGTGCAACTCATCAATGTCCAGGCCACTGACAACCGCGCCACGGTTGGACGCCAAAGTCACCAGCCCTTGGGCATCCAGACGGCGAAACGCTTCGCGCACCGGCATACGGCTCATGCCGATCTCGCTGGCGATGTCTTCGGCGATCAGGCGATCGCCCTTGCGCAAGCGACCGCCC